CCCTCCAAAATTTCTTAAATTCTCTGCAGTTCGATTTCTATTACCTTAGAATTAAGGTAATAGAAATTTAAATTAAGTCCCTTAAATTAAGTCCTATCCGATTTTCTGTTCATTAATTTTTTTTGAATGATTAAATATATAAAATTGGCTTGTCGTAAAACTGCAGCTTCTGGCATATACCAAAAGTTTATCAATTCTCCCATCTGTCAAATGAAAGAATATATAAAAATTTATGCAGCCTGTATATAAAATAGAGATACAGAAGTGTATGTTATGTCAGACAAATATATAGACCGATGTTAATTTAATAATAATTTTTTATATTCCTCTACAGCATGGGGCGAAATACATTTCCATTGAGAACATAACATGTGAAGTTTGTTACGAATACAATACCTCCTTCATTACTTATATGTAATGAGACCGAAAGAAGGAAATTTTGAATTCTATTATGGGAATCAGATCCGTTGAGAATATTTTCTTTTTTTTGTTTTTGAAACAATTATGTAAATTGAAATAAATTTAAATTATTTGAGTGAAATTAAAAATTAAGTAAAACTATTTCATCTTAAGTTTAGTTTTCGTATAATTACAAGTACAAGCAAATATGTACATACGTATGTATGTATAACGTAAGTAAATTTTAATTACTATTTGTGTGAGAGAAAATAAATTTTTTTTGGATTTCGAATGACTTTTTGATAGAAATCTTACAATACTTTCTAATCTAATAAGTACCCGTAAAATTAAGTGTATTCTTAAGAGAAAAGAAGTCAACTTCTTCCCACATATATAAAAACAAAAATTTTCTCTAAGTTGTTATAAATTTAATTCTCATTTGAAAAGAAATGTCTATTTAATTAAGTACAATCATAAATTTTACATTTTTAAAACAATATAAGTACTAAATAAGATTAAATTTTGAAGAAGTAAGCAACACCATACAAATATAAGTTAAGTAATGTTAATAACAACATTAATTACACTGACTTGAAAATTTACCTTTAGTGAAATTTTAATTTGTTCAAATTACAATGCAAAAATTTTATTTTTAGAATTTTTTTAATTTTATTTTGTTTTCATTCGTTTTAGAATGTGTGTTTTATCCTAAGTATTTATATTAAAAAAATTTCTGAATAGAAAAAGAGTAATTCAGATTAAAAGTTACACTCTTTTAATTTCTATATACACAAAATAAATAATATGGCGTGACTATACGACTTTGAATTAGTTCAATTGCAGGCTTATACCTCTAATTGAGACTCTTTAAACCTACAACCTATATAGTCATCTAAACATATTGTCTACATATGCTTAACAATATTTCACTTTAAAGACAAGATCTTAAATTCAACGCATTCGATGAAAGAAAACAACAAATAGTTACCATTAATTTGCAAACTTATATTCGAATACAAGCCAGTTTTAAGACTTTGTACCAAAAATATAAATACATAGGTATATACATGATTGTACATACAAGGTACCCAAAAATGCAAATTTGTGAGTAATTAATAGAATTTTTTTAAAATTTTATAAATTGATTTTATATGATAATTTTTGTATTTGACATTATTAAACGCATTTATCCACCAATCTTTTAAAATCTTGTTTTTATTATATTTTATAATTAATAACCATAGATTTAATTATATTTTAATAAAGACGAATTTTTTTTTTAATTTATCATTTCTTCTAAAATACCATAACCAAAAAAATAATATCTTATTTATATCAGTAATAAATTTCATTGAAATTATACGTTTGAGTTACAAATTCTCGACCTCAATTAATTTTTCAAGCAAATTTATTACTCTTTTATTAATCAAAAAACAAAAGCAAAACTTAAGAGCAGGCATAAAAAAATTTTTTTTAAACAAAACTGGACTTATTTGTACTTGATCTATAATAAATTTAGATCTTTCATTACTCTCTTCTATTTTTATTAAGTTAAAAATAAATAAAGCAAGTTTTTGTAATGATTTTTAGTCCTATTAAATTTCTTAGCATATAGTTTTAATAATAAAGTATACAAGGTGGCTGAATTAAATTTTTACAAAAATTATAGGTATACAGAAAATGTTAATTTTAAACGTAAAATTTAAAACAAAATTAATCTTGTATGTATACAGTGGATTCTCTTTACAACGAACTCTTCTATAACTACAGCGAAACTTTCTATTTATCGAATATAATGCAACATTTGTTCATCATAAATTTTCGCATTGTATACTTACTAAAGTATTTGGGTAAAATTATTTTTCGATCATAAAAATATCAGCTATCACCCTGTAGCTTTTGTAACAAGAGCTTTTTCTTTTTATTTTTCTTAAAATACCATTTAAATTCCTTCTCACTTAATAAATTTCCAAAAAAACTCAAATAAAATACAAATCCACTTGAAACATCAAAAAATAAACATTAATCAAAATAGGAAAAAGAAATCTAAAAAATTAAATTTTATTAATTTTGACCTCATAAAGTTTTTAAAATTACAATAAAAATTGTAAAAATTTAAAATTTCAATAAAAGTTTACTTAAGTATGGTATTGAAATAAATACACATACATTTATACACTTCTTATATTCAAGTGTAATTTTAATGTTTCAAACAACGTATACAAAAACCCTTTATTAGAAATAACAAAAAAAGCATATAATAGAGCAATAGAATAGAAACTAAATAACTTAGTTAAAGTTTTAGTAATTATTAAGAGAAAATTTATTCACACACAACATTCTCTGGTATAAAAATTAATTTTGTGAAAGATTGAACAATTTACTAACTTATAAGCTTGACCAATAACAAATTTCTTAAAGTGAATAATCAACTAAATTTCAAATCCAATCATAAAAATTCAAAGCTCGAATACTTAATTTATGTAGTTTCAATCTTTTATGATTCGTATTTAAATCATAATCATTTCAATCCAAATATTCACAATAGTTTTTGCAATAAAATCTTATGTAAATTTTAAATGTATACACAAACTCTTATTCTATAAACTAAATGTTAAATTTAACATATGAATTGTTAACAATATAACGTGTATGAACATGAATTAGTACAAATATGTAGTATATGATTTTAATAAAAATTATGCATTTTATGTTTACATGATTTACTGCAATCGCAAATTGGTATATTTATATTCTAGTTCGGTTCTGGAGCATTCATTTCTTAATCACCAAAATTTTATTGTAGTTGCAAATGTGAAATTGGTATGCTTGCTTAACATTTACTCATATTTCAAAAGCAAATATTCCAATAACACTTAGCTATCACTTTATAACGATGCTCAAAGACATTTGATTTCAAAAACTTGCAACCACAATCCATGGACAATGCATAAGTATATACAATGCAAACGCATAATGCATGAAATTTATAATTACATAATAAAGATTAATTTGACAACATTCCCCTCTATTATGAACATCGGTATCGGCCGATATTTTATCGGCAGTTCTAATCGGTTTTAAGTTTCTTCTGTATTATGAACCGATACCGATAAAAATATTTCAACCGATTAAAAGAAGCTTTTTCATACAAATTTTTGTTTTTGTAAATTGGAGAAAAAGTTTTTTTTTTCTAATGACATTTGTTTTCTTTCAAAAGTTATTTTCAAAAAATTTTTAAAACTATTTTGAATTTGGTTTTGATGTGCTAAAAAGTTGTTGTAAGCAAATTATTTTCTGTTAAATTTGTAAAATAAAAATATACATATATCGGGAAAATGTCGCGTGCATTATATTTTGAAAGTGAAGAAACGGTAGTAAGTGAAGAAACGCAAGCTATTCAAAGACGACATATAAGAGATTCAACTAATCCATTGGATTTAGACAACAAAATGTATGTTTATGTACCTATTTTATTTTATTATTTATATAATATGTACACATTTTTTAGGTTTATCCAGAATTTCAGATTATCATTCCTTGCCAGGTTTAAGTCCTCTTCCATTTTTTCTACTAACCGCGCAATTTGTTTTTTGTTGCTTACGATTTTACTCCTAAATAAAATATATGAATAACATTTTGAAAGAAAATAATTTAGAAAAAATGCTTACATTTTAAAAAAGCAATTAATTACACCAGTTTCCTTGATAAAATGAAGATTTTACAAAAAAAAAAATCTGTCGTCTAAAAATTTGTACCCGCTTTTAAATCGGTGAAAATCCGACAATTTATCGTTTTCATAATACCAGCTAATATGTTTCCTATACAGGAAAAAAAGCTTCCCCGACTCCGATAAAATTTACCGATAAACAATGTTGGTAATACAAACACAAAATTTTGCCGATAAATTATCGTTTATCGGCCGATACCGATATACATAATAGAGGGGATTTAAAACGTCTTTATAAGTTCTCTTTTATTTACAATAATAAAATATAGAATAGTTGACAAATAAATGTAGATATATTTTTTTATTTAACTTTCTTGTGATAAAATCTTAAATTTATTTAATACTCAAATTCTATAACTACATATACTTATTTATGTAAATAAAAATACAAGTAAAACATCTCTTATGGTAGTTGCCAGTAGTCATATTAAAAGCATTCAACTTTTATGAAATTACACGCATATATTTTTGTTTATGCTACACCATATAACGTCCATTATCACTTCATTCACACTTTCATAAAATAGATACAATAGAAACTCATTACTTACAAAATATTGTAATTTGAATACGAGTATTGCGACTAAATTGATTTATTTTTCCCTTAAAACGTAAATTATTTTTCATAAATTATTTTACATTCCTCATAATTTCCACTAAATGATAATATATAAATAACACCCTTCACGACATTACCATGCATAATGCAATAATATATTTAAAATGTTAGATATAATGTATAAGAACTTTTACTACTACACTTATACAGTGGATTCTCTGTGTAAAAAATTCGAAAAGGTCAATAAAATTTGTTAGAAATACACGGTTTTCGTAAAACAGAGACTCTACTTATATATTATGAATCCCCTCTATTATGAACATCGGTATCGGCCGATATATTATCGGCAGTTCTCATCGGTTTTGGGTTTCTTCTGTATTATGAACCGATACCGATAAAAATATTTCAACCGATTAAAAGAAGCTTTTTCATACAAATTTTTGTTTTTGTAAATTGGAGAAAATGTTTTTTTTTCTAATGACATTTGTTTTCTTTCAAAAGTTATTTTCAAAAAATTTTTAAAACTATTTTGAATTTGGTTTTGATGTGCTAAAAAGTTGTTGTAAGAAAATTATTTTCTGTTAAATTTGTAAAATAAAAGTATACATATATCGGGAAAATGTCACGTGCATTATATTTTGAAAGTGAAGAAACGCAAGCTATTCAAAGACGACATATAAGAGATTCAACTAATCCATTGGATTTAGACAACAAAATGTATGTTTATGTACCTATTTTATTTTATTATTTATATAATATGTACACATTTTTTAGGTTTATCCAGAATTTCAGATTATCATTCCTTGCCAGGTTTAAGTCCTCTTCCATTTTTTCTACTAACCGCGCAATTTGTTTTTTGTTGCTTACGATTTTACTCCTAAATAAAATTTATGAATAACATTTTGAAAGAAAATAATTTAGAAAAAATGCTTACATTTTAAAAAAGCAATTAATTACACCAGTTTCCTTGATAAAATGAAGATTTTACAAAAAAAAAATCTGTCGTCTAAAAATTTGTACCCGCTTTTAAATCGGTGAAAACCCGACAATTTATCGTTTTCATAATACCAGCTAATACGTTTCCTATACAGGGAAAAAAAGCTTTCCCGACTCCGATAAAATTTACCGATAAACAATGTTGGTAATACAAACACAAAATTTTGCCGATAAATTATCGTTTATCGGCCGATACAGATATACATAATAGAGGGGAATATTAATTTTCTAAGAAGTTTGCGTTCATAATGTACATATGTAGACAATAAAATATTCTTTTTATAACATATACCGATATTTGAACCAAAACACGCTTATTTTAGAAAAGCTTACAGCTCTTAATTTTTGGTAAAATTCTATTAGTTCATTGAAATAAATGTTAATTATACATAGATTCAACTGTATTTATTTTAGAAAAGGGTAAAAATGAGCACTTAGTAACTCATATTTCTGCAAATTATTACAAATATGGAGTATCTACTTACAAAGCTAAAACTGTCAAAGAATAATTTTTATAATTTCTTTGGTTCTTTTATGATCTGTTTTTTTCTCTCTTTTTTTTGTTTTAGAAGTCCTGCTGTGACTTTTCAATTTTAAAATTTCTATTAAAGTGTTATACATTGAGTACATTCACCATCTCCTTCCATAAGCATATTTCACTTTTTATACTATTCAACAGAAAAAAAAAACAATTGAAAATATGATTGACATCCGGGAGGGTTAAAAGTGAAATCATAAATTTTAAAGAAATTAAAAAAACGCAAAATGAAATGAAAAATAAAATTTAATTTTTAAAAACGCATATTATTTGATTTGTAATAATAATATTCGAAAAAAAAAGAATTGAAACGAATGACAGAATAAACGCGATTGCGCTACAATTATAGTGCATAGTCATCTTTTGGGAATTGGGTACATGTATAAATACTCCACACAGGGTTTTCCAAATAAATTTAATCTAGTGTTAGTAGAAGCGTTATCAAATCAAGAATGAAAACAATTTTTTTTTTTTTTTGAAAATTGTGTCTGAAAATATTTCAAAAATTTTTCGAACTTTTGAACGTTCCGAAATTTTATTTTCCCATAAAATTGCCGAAAATTAAATTAGTAATCATAAAAATATTTCAAACTCTCAATTAAACACTGCATCTAAAAGACATTCAAATGTTACTGAACGACCCTGCATTCAATGTACGAAATAGCATCATATTAATAATTTTAATTGTTAAACTTTATTGTGTGTAACTGATGGATTCGGAAAGCACAACGTGATGTTCTTACCCAACATTAATCAACATAATAAATCACATAAAAAGAGAAAACACAAATATAATGATATATTTTTTAATATACATGATTAATAGAAATATTTTATAAGTATTTAAAAATATTTAAAAAGTTAAACGAAACTGACATGCAAAAGAATAATACCAAAATTATTTAAATTGGTGACGCACTCTAATGGAGCACTGAACACATCCCATACATTTTCAAAAATAAAGAAAAATTTTTTATCTTCCCCTTTCTATCTTCTTTACATATAAATGCTCTTTTATACAAAAATGTTAAAAAATATCATAAAGGATATAATTATCCTTTAGAACTCCTTTCAATTTAATTCATTTGCATAAAAACTGAATTCCATTTAAGGTTAAAACATTACAGAAATTACAATAATAATAGCAAATAATTAAGTATCATATTTTAAGTTTAAGTAATAAAATGATAAAAGCGTTATTTATTACAATCGTGCGGTCCTTTTTCTTTGATTTTCATAATTAAGTAGTATTTAGGGTAAAAAACAAAGCATTTTGTTCGGAAATAATTACATTGTTAGATATTCAAATTAAGTACTCAAACCTATCCCACTAGAATACCATCTTAAATCTGATTAACTTGCCAATATTTTTGAAAAATTTCGTACAGGCATCGTTATGCAAATATTCAAATACAGAATTAGCCTAATGTATTAATTATTAAAATTCACTAATAAGTACAAAGTCTATAAAATCTGCAACTGACGAAAAATTCTAAAACATTCAGTCACTTTCATTTTTATTTCTTTTGAAATTTATAATACCCTTTCAAAAGTTAAAATTTAAGTATATGTAAAAAAGTAAAGTAAACACACATACATAAGTGATATGTAAAATATTTAGAAGAAAATTGATTTATTGCGAGTACATCTGCATAAGTAATTGCATTTACTTGTGATGCAAATTAAATAATGGAATAATATTAAAATATATATTCTTAATGCTAAAAGTAACTCATGTTTTGTCAAAATTAAATGCAACGGAAGTAACACACCCCCAAAATTATACAATAATTGCTATGAGCATGCTTTGTAATAACCGCCAAAGTACATAAAGAAAACCAGATAATAGGGGCATTATAATTTTACCCTTTCATTAATACACATATACATATATATATATATATATATATATATATATATATATATATACAGAATTTTATATGGACTTGCAAAAAGATTTTGTTACGTAAAATATGTTTTCTAAAGTATTCTTTAAATGTATTTTATATAGAGCACAGGTTTTACTACAATTTTTGTAATTTTTACGTTAACAAATTTTTATTTCTTTTTTATTGATTCATATGGTCGATTTTGTAATGCTAAATATTATCAATTAATATTAGTGCCGTTGAATTCTACAGCTTGTAATATGTTAACACAAAAACTACGAACAAAGTAATGACAAACCATTGTACATATTTAATTTTTATTCGGAATATCAAGAGAAAAACCTCACATAATCTTTATGAAAAACCTCACATAATCACAGAAAATTAAAAAGAAAATATATTCCAATATTTAAAAAAAAATTATCGATAGCACTGATTTTGTAATGGAAAGCGCAAGACATTGAACTTCTTAAATAAATATACAGTTGCTAAAAGTTACTCATCCTCCTAACTCTTAAGTATGCCGCTGCCTACTACAAGTTGTCAAAACATTTGGAAAACCTTGTATATTTTAATAGACAACATTTAGTCATATATATAAATCTAATTCCGAATTATTAAACCTTTTCATAAACGTATTATATCGCGGTATATGGTAATTTTTCGCTATATATAGCGATATTAAGATGAGAGAATCGTGTGTATTGTTTTAATTTTATAGAATACTTAAAAATATATTGCACATTCATCATATTGTATTTTTGCAATATTGCGTTTTGCAGTTATATGTTTATAAAAATCTCTATTATTATTATATAAGCACATCCTTTGAAAATCAAAACAAAAACTAATACTTTTATGTCGGCATAAATCTGAGAATATACGGAAATTTTCTTGAATTTAAAAAAAAATGTGCATATCACCATTATCCAATTTTATCACATTTGTAATGGAATTTTTTCCATTTAAGTATTTAACTACTTTTAATAGATCAATCGATCGATTATTTATACAGAAGAATAAACAAAATCTATTATTCTTCATTATAATTTTCTTATTATATAACAATAAAATAATGAAATCATAAAATTTTTGATTACTTTACGCAATAATTGTAAAATTATCTTTCAAAATCTTTAATAAATAAATGCCAGTTAAAGCTAAATAATAATACACAAAACTATCAATTAATCATCTAAAGCTCACAAAAAAAAACATTTTTTTCAAACAAAAAGATAAATCTAACAATTTATTATAGATTTAAAATTGAAAACATCCCATTAAAATAACAAAATAAAGCATCTATTTTTCTAGTCACGTGTCAGTTCATTTTGCTCTATTATTTAAATATTAATGAATTCACCTATTGTTAATATACACATGTATGTACATAATACATGTACATATGTACCTAATATATATATATTAAATAGTTATAACTTGAACAAAATATTGATGGCGCATTGAATGAATCATCTGAAATTTTTCAATAAAAGTTCTTATTCAGTAAAAAAAAAAACCAGGAAATGTAATTATAATCGCTGCACATTTTATCTTACACATACTTATGTATATGCATCAGCATATTAAATATGGTGTTACTTCTAATGACAATAATAATAATTTATAACAGCATAAAAGCATTAATTATCTTAAAATTTTAAATCAATCAATTCATTTATACCCTCAAAACATCAACCAAAATATGCCATTATAAAATCAATTTCTACTATAAATTTTGTGTATGCACATACATAACGTACGAGTACATATAATAGTTTCAAACGTTTACACAATAAATTTTTATTTTGTATGAAAATTCATCGAAAATTATAAATATTCTTATAAATCTAGTATACAGAGTGTATAAAAGTAAGCCGATATTGCTCATAAGCTCTAAGTCGGCTCTAAGTGTCATAAGAATGAACACGGTAAACAGAAATATTCAAGTTTTTCATTTTTGGTTCCTACTCGAGTATTTCGAGGACCTCTTAAATTGTTCATGAAAAGTGTCCCTTCAAGATTTCAATCCTATATACTGTTGAGGTATTTCTAGAAAAAAAGAATGATATGGAATTCATATGAATTCTAATATAAAAGCTATTAAGTAGTAGGGGAAATTAAAATCTGATGGTAAAATGATTTTGGGAACTGTATTTCTTAAAATTTGAAACATCCTTAGATGCTTTATACTGAAAATTTAAAAAAAGATGGTGACATACTCGTACGAAGAAGTAACTTAAAAAATAGCACATAATGTGCTTTTCGTGAAATGGTCGCGATGATCGTATCACCGAATAAATTTTCAAACGTTAATGTGTTGTTATTTTTAGCACATTTCCAAAAAAAATTCGTGGACCCGTTTGCAAAACTTCCAAACCCTTGAAGATAGAAAGCTTTTCATTCTGACAAATTCTGCAAATGTACAAAAGTAGTGGTGGTCTTCTTTTATCACGGCATACTATATTTGAATTTTTAAACAACAAAGTGCACTCTAAAACTCACCGTTATCACTAATAAGAAGTTCATTTTGTTAGAAAAAAATTCCCCCCCCCCCTCAAATTTTTGCTTCTCGAAATTTGTAAAATTTGAATTTTTGGCACCTTATATTTCCTGAAACAAAACTTTTTTTAAATTTCTATGAACGCAGAAAGCTAACGGAAAATTTCATGCCATTAAAAAATATAATGATTTTTCTTAACTCACGCAATTAATCGTTTAAATCGAGCATTATTTTAACACCTTTTTAAATTTA